TTCTGGACAAACGAATGAAACCAAGAAGAATGGACGAAGAAGGCGGACGAGATATTTCAGGATTGGGATGCACGTTGGAGTTTCATTGCTCTTTTATTCTGTATGAATATGTATTGATTTGGGTTTTGAAAAGTGTTGTTGTTGTTGTGTACTGTCGAGTCGAGACTGACCGATAGCTGACCCTCTAAATCACATGGGAGGAAACTGTCCCTCTTCCTGCCACAGAGCAGCAACACAAATCTTTGTGTTGGCAACACCATTCCTTCCCACTAAGTTCTAGTGTTTCAGAGATGATGAGGATGGCACAGAAAAGAGCAGGGTTCTGGTCATCTGTTCATAAGGTTGCCATGAGTCTTATAGTGAAAGAGAAACTAGACTGAAGTATTTTGAAAGATAAATGCAATACTGAAATTCATTTATGAAATCTACTTGTAAAAGAAAGGTATAAAATAAAGTAGTAACTAACTGGAAGAGAATGAGTTGAAAAAGAAGCAGACTTCCCTCTGTTCTCTCTTACACTGTTAGGTTTAAAACTTGACTTTTGCAGTCTTCTTCCTTTGCTTTAAAATCTCCACAATTCTCCTTTTATGCCAAGACCATAAAATTGAGAGCTCTAGCTTGGCATTTAGAGCCTCTCATCCTATGGTTGGCCCCATCTGTCTTTTCTATTTTATAAATAATAAGTAATAAAGAATTTCCTTATGCTTAGCATCATGAGAGATGGTGAAGATACTGAGATTGTTAACAGCTTTCTCTTGCTTGGCTCCACAATCAACACTGTTGGTACCAGCAGCCAAAAAATCAAAAGATGAATTGCATTGGGAAAATCTGCTATCACATACCTCTCCAGAGTACTGAAGAGCAATGATGTCAGTCTAGAGACTCAACTGTGCCTGATTGATGACTTTGAGTTGTGGTGCTAAAGAAGAGTATTGAATATACCGTAGACTGCTAGGAGTTTGCCCTTAAGAGGGTGAAACCAGGCAGCTCCATAGAGGCAAGGATTTTGAAGTTTCATCTGACATATTTTGGGCATGTTGCAAGGAGGGACCAATCCTGAGAGGGACATCATGCTCAGAAGTGAGGCGGGACAGCACAGGAGAGGAAGACCCTGGATGAGATTAATTGACTCAGTTAGTGAGGTAATGGGGATAGGTGTGTCAGAGACAGTGAGGTTGCCTCAGGATAGAGCAGGGTTCAGAGCTCTTCTATGTAGGTTAAGTATGAGTCACAGGCAACTCAGTGGCACATATCAATAGCATCTGAAACCTGTACTTAGCCCATGAAATAGTTGACTAAATAGAAGAAGGTACATGGTTCGAAATCAGATAAGTTGTGTGTCAGGGTTGTATTCTTTATCCATACCTATTCCTGAATGCTGCAGGAAAATGGAAAGAATATACAGTCACTGTACCAAAAAGAATTAGTCAACACAGAATCATTTCAGAAAATAGCATATGGTCTAGAGTCAATAGAAGTGAAAGAAAAAGGACAAGCTGCACTGAAGGCAGTGGAGCACAGTAAGGCCTCAGGAGTGGATAGAATATCAATTGAGGTGTTTCCAGAAATAGATGCAGGCCTGGATGTGCTCACAAGCCTTTGTCTACAAATATGGAAGACAGCTACATGGCCAACTGACTGAAAGAGATTCATATTTGTCCTTGATAAAAAAAAAATGGCTATCTGGCTCTCTGCTCCTCATCGATCCAGATTGCCCTTTCTTCTTGTGCAGCCTCAGCCGCATCCCTGAGACACGATGGTGAAGGTTGGAGTAAACAGATTTGGCCACATTGGGCACCTGGTCACCAGAGCTGCTTTTCACTCTGGCAAAGTGGATGTTGTTGCTATCAATGATCCCTACATTGACCTCAACTACATGGTCTGTATGTTCCAGTATGATTCCATCCATGGCAAGTTCAGTGGTACTGTCAAGGCTGAGAATGGGAAGCTGGTCATCTATGGGAAAGTTATCACTATCTTCCAGGAGCGAGATCCCGCCAACATCAAGTGGGGTGATGCTGGTGCTGAGTATGTTGTGGAGAAGGCTGGGGCTCACTTGAAGGGTGGTGCCAAATGGGTAATCATGTCTGCTCCTTCTGCCGATGCCCCCATGTTTGTGATGGGCATGAACCATGATAACTATGACAACTCTCTCAAGATTGTCAGCAATCCTCCTGCACCACCAGCTGCTTGGTTCCCCTGTCCAAGATTATCCATGACAACTTCGGTATTGTAGAGGGACTCATGACCACAGTCCATGCCATCACTGGCACCGAGAAGACTGTGGATGGCCCCTCTGGAAAGCTGTGGCATGATGGCCGTGGAGCTGCCCAGAACATCATCCCTGCATCTACTGGTGCTGCCAAGGCTGTGGGCAAGGTCATCCCTGAACTGAAGGGAAACTTACCAGCATGGCTTTCTGTGTCCCCACCTCCAATGTGTCAGTTATGGACCTGACCTGCCGTCTGGAGAAAGATGCCAAATATAATGACATCAAGAAAGTAGTAAAGCAGGCACAGAAGGGCCCTTCAAGGGCATCCTGGGATACACTGAAGACCAGGTTGTCTCCTGTGACTTCAGTAGTGACACCCACTCTTCCACCTTTGATGCTGGGGCTGGCATTGCTCTGAACGACCACTTTGTCAAACTCATTTCCTGGTATGACAGTGAATTTGGCTACAGCAACCGGTGGTCGACCTGATGGTTCACATGGCCTCCAAAGAATAAGAGCCCCTTGAACCACCAGCCCCAGCAGTAGCACTAGAAGAGAGAGAGAGAGAGACCCACAGTTGCTTGGGAGCCCTTGTCCCAACTTGATCCTCCCACACACTGAGAATCTCACATCCTTGACACAAGTTTTCATCGAATCCCCCTGCGAAAGGGGAGGGACTTGGAGAGCCCATTTTGTCATGTACCATCAAAAAAGTACACTCAGCCAAAAGAAAGAAAAAAAAGGGTGATCCAACAAATTGTGGAAATGACCACACAATATCATTAATGTCACATATAAGTAAAATTTTGTTGAAGATTACTAAAAAAAAAAAAAAAGACTCAAACAGCATATCAGGAAACTCCCAGAAATTCAGAAAAAAGCCATTACACAAGGGATATCATTGCTAATGTGAAATGGATTTGTGATTAAATGCAGAGAATACCAGAAAGATGTTTATGTTTTGTTGGTTATCCCTAGGCATTTGACTGTGAATCATAACAAATTATGGCTAACATTGAGAAAAATGGGAATGGGTACACTTAATTATATGTTCATGAATAACCTCTACATAGACCAAGAAGCAGTTGTCTGAACAAAACAAAGGAACCCTATGGTTTAAAATCAGGAAAGGTCTGCAACAGGATTATATCCTTTCTCCATTACCTATTCAATCTATATTCTGAAATCTATATGCTAAAATCATGTAAGAAGCTGGAGTTTATGATGAAGAATGTGGCATCATGATTGGAGGAATACTCATCAATAACTTGCATTATGTAGATGACATAATTTTGTTTTCAAAAATGAAGAAACAGAAGATCAAAGATTATAATCTTCTATATGGATTATACCTCAGCATCAAGAAAACAAAACCCCTCATCACTAGACTAACAATCAGCATCATAACAGATGGAGAAAAGATGGAATTTGTCACTTTCACTTTACTTGGATCTACAAGTCAACATCCAGGGTCAAAAGAACTGAACAGCAGAGAGGAAATCAAAAGACCTACATCTTTGGTAACTCTGCTTTCAAGAATCTATCCAAAGAACTAAAGAGCAAGGACACCGGTTTAAAAACTAAGGTGCACTTGTTTCAAACCATGATCTTTTCACTTGCTTCCTATGCATCTGAAAGCTGAAAAGTGAATAAGAAAGACAGAGAGAATCAATGCCTTTGAATTGTGGTGCTGGCAAAGAGTATTAAATTTGTTGTTGTTAGGTGCCGTTGAGTTGTAGACGACTCATAGCAACCCTATGAAAGAAAGGCCTGAGCACTATTCATAGAGTTTCTGGAGGCACGCCATTTGGGTAGTGGATGCCACTCCTGCTTCCAGGCAAGGGTCGTGAAATTTAGAGGCCAGAGTGGTCTCCCTTTGGTAACATTTTCAGGAGGAACCAGTCCTTGGAGAGGGACAGCATGCCGGGGAAACCTAGAGGGTCAGCAAAAGCAAGAAAGACCCTCAATAAAATAGACATAAAATAGTTGTTCAGTGGATTGTTATTAGTTGTAGTCGGATTAGATGGCACCTAACAATAACATGCCATTAGGGATCTCTACAATCCACAGTATTTTATTTTCTTTCTTATATTTTGTTGCTGTTCTTTTTTAATTCTTCTAGAATAGTTTTCCTGTATATCTACAGATTTCAAGCCTGTTTATCTTTCAGGACTCCAGGTCAGATTACAGTTCTTTTATGAAGAATTTTTAATTCCACATCAGATACAAGTCACTTTTCCTGTTTTAGGCATTAAGAATATTTTGGGTGTGGGTCTTATCTTCCTACACCATAAGCTCTTTGAATACAGAAAACCTATGTTACGTATCTATAAATTTTTTAGTATTTTACATAGTATAAACATACGGAAAAACTGAAATTACCACTTTGTATTCTTTGCCCTGTGTTCCTTGGAGGTAAAGATGATAAAGCCTTCTCTGACATACTTTGGGAATTTTACTAGGAGAGGCTATTCTTTGGAGAAGGACATCATGCTTCTGGTGTAGAGTTGGAAAAGGTGGGAAAGACCCTCAACATGATTAATTGATACAGTGACCTCAACAACGCACTTAAGTGTGTTAGAAATTATGAGGATGTCACAGGATAGGGCAGGGTTCAGATCTAATGTTCATAGAGTCACTCTGAGTAGTACTCAACAGCCCCTAACAACAACAGCAATTTTTTAGTAAGTAATCATATCTATCAATAGATTGTCCCTTTTTAAAAAGTTTGACTCTTTAATGTTAGCATTAAAATTTGTTAAAATGTGTATTATGTTTATATTCACAGCCCCATGCAATCATTCGTCATACCATTAGATCTACAAACAGGAATGCCAGAGCTGAACGGACAGCTTCAGAAATAAATTGTATGTGTTTTGTGTATATTTTCAATTGGTATTTTTGGATGGTTGAGATAGGTTTTCTTGTAACTTTTAAGAATAACAATATCTCAAACTACTGGGACTATATCATTTTAATATATCAGAATATCTAGAAATTATGACTACTGTTGCCAATAATTTAGTTCTTTCATATAAGAGCAGGATGGGTAATTCTAACTAACAAAAACTTTCATATACCCAACTCTGTGGTAGCCTGTCTATATTAACAATAATAATGTAGAAACTACAGTTGGGGGTCAATATTCCCAAAGAGTTAATATTCAGAGATAATGAAAGCAAAAAACCCAAACAACGTGCTAGGCTTGAGAATTTAAGAATTTCTGGAAATTTGGCTAATGAAAATTTGAAATGTATCCTTTTATTTATACTTAAAGATGATAAAGATGGTAGAGCTCTGGAGTATAAATGAAGTATCAGTTCTGTTGCTGTTATTGGTTTATTGGGATTTCATTACTATTTCAACACCTTAAACCCTACAAATTATTGCACTCATTTTTTTTAGATTTGTCTTTTTTATTGGTTTACTTACAAAGTTCATATACGTTGTTTCGCATTATCCTTCATTCACATCGTGTTTCCTACAATCATTTTCACCCATTATGTTTTAGGGCTTTTTTAAATAAATTTTTATTTTATAGTGATTTGCTTACAGAGTGCATATACATTGTTTTTTATGCCAGATTAATTTTTAAGTCTTTAAATTTTCTGAGTAACTTTTCATGTATCTGAAAATTGATACTCTATTTCTTTTACAAACTTTTGTGCCTTACTTAAGTCTCAAGTTGTAAAAAAAGGACTTTTATCTCCTCTCTATTTCAAGAGTTAAGTTGTTTAAGTAATTATAGTATTTTTCTTCAGTTAATATTTTTAACATGTTAAAAAATAAGTCATTAATTTTTAACTGTTAATAAAAATTGTTATTGTTTGTTGTTTCTGAAGCCTCATATAGTCAGTTAAATTCATCACTATCACACATGAAGAACTACTGTGCAACACATTGACAAATCAGTGGTGGAATAAAAATTAGATACTGTATTTTATTGGATGTCTTCCAAGCTTTTATAGAAAAATCTTGTTTTTTGTGTTAAGGACAACTACATTCTATTTGAGTGCTTCTAATCACAATTTCAAATGTACTTAGCATCTTGTATTTCTGTGGCGCAAACATAAATATTAAAATTTTTAAAAATTTTATCCACATTGGATTTCAGAGTTGTGTGTATTTTATAAGTAAATAATAAGCCCTCTTTTGGTGTTGTTGTGTACTGTCAAGTTCGAACTGACTCATTGCTGACTTTCCAGCAGGTAAATTGTACGAGGAGAAATTACCCATCTTTCCACCATTGAGCAGCTAGTAGATTCTAACTGTGTGCCTTCAGGTTGGCAGTGCAACTCTTTACCACAGGAATCTGACATGATATTGCAAAATGTGTTTTTCATTTGGGCCAGAGTGATTTCAGAATTACTCCAAATTACAAGCAATATTTATGTATTTGTTTTATTATGTATCTTGTAGAAAGAACTATTTGAAATTTGGAATACATCTCATTTCACTACAATGAGAAGAAATACTGCAATCCTTTTATGATACTGAGTTTGTAAATATCTGTCCTATATTTTTCAGTTGACAAATTACAATTTGAACCTCCTCTGAGAAAAGAAACAGAAGCACGGGATGAAATGGTATGAGTTATGACTTTTAAAATATTGCACATAGTAGAATGTTAGAAAATATGATGAGGTATACTGGAGTGAAAAAAGTAAACCAGTCTTTCAAGTGTTCATTTAACTTCTAACTCTTAAAGAATTTACATGAAGTTTTTAAATATCTGCTTGGCTTTAGCTCTCGCAATCTTTGTTCTTATTGTTAGGTTTGCAAAAAGAGTCTGTGCTTTTATGTTGCTTTGCCATTTCTTAATAGCATTTGTTTTGTTTGTTCATTTTCCTTTCTTTTTTTTCTCAGCCACTACTCTTACTCTGAAGATACTTTATAGTTAGTTTTGTCTTACTTTAAAGGAAAGAAGTAGTAGATAAATCAGACTGGGTAGATTATATTTGCACCATCACAGTTGTTTGGGTTTTTTTTCTGTGTTCATTTTTAATTAGTAGATTGCCGTTTCCTTTCTTGTGTACCATCAAGTCGGAACTGACTCATAGTTGCCCTTCAGCTCGTTTTCAGAGGCTATAAATCACGTGAGAGGAGACTGCCTGTCTTTCTTCTGTGGAGCAGCTGGTTAATTCAGACTGTGCCTTTGTGTTGGCAATGCAGCTTCTTACCACTAGAACACAACCACTAGTATTTCATCTTAAAATATAACTTTAGCAGATTATCTACTATTAAATTTTGTTTAGTAAGAATTTTAGGCGAGCTCTGGTTGGCCTAGTGGCAAGAAGCTGCACTGCAATCTAGAGTTGCGTGGTTCAAATCCACCAGATGTTCTGCTGGAGAAGGAGGGGCAATCTCCTCCTGTACCAGTCAGATC